TCGACTCGCAAGGGAAGAGTGTACATACCACCTTTTGGCTCAACCCGCAAGGGGAGAGTTCTGTTGTACGATTTGCCGAGACAGTTTCTGTTTTGTGCCTGTGAGATTATTGTTGTCCGATGTCTGATTTTTTGTGTGAGTTTGTATATAAATCCAGCTTGTATATATTATATATATGATATATGAACATTTCGACATGTTTTATATCTATATATCTTATATACTGTTCGCCAGCTGGTTGACGACTCACGGTGTCCTCGAATGAGGGTTGCGTCGCGCATCTGCAATTTCAAACCATACAACAATTGCAAGATCGACACAACGCCGCGGTTGGGCGAGAATCAACGATGGCAGGCTGGCCAGGGTTCTGGGGAATCAACAACAATCAACAATCACTGCGTCATTCAACTAGACGCTTGCCTGCCAGCCTGCCATCCTCGTCCCAACCCCTGACCATACACCATTGGGAGAAAATGATCAACGTGAAGAGCGAAACCGGCAGTTTCGTGCTGGGTGCTGAGATGGGATTCAGCCACTTGCAGACTGGCAAGGCTTCTGGGGAAAAATGTTTTGAGTTCAATCATGTATTGCGTCGTTCGTCTTGACGCTAGCCTTGCCAGTCTGCGCCCATCTCGGCACCCCAGCGCTTCACCGATCATATTCACCCAAACTGGACGATCATCATTGTGGAATGTACTATGTGCAGCTTCATGCTGGGTGCTGAGATGGGATTCATCAACTTTGCGGACTGGCTAGGCTTCTGGGGAAAATGTTTTGAGTTCAATCATGTATTGCGTCGTTCGACTTGACGCTAGCCCTGCCAGTCTGCGCCCATCTCAGCATCCCGGCACCACAATGATCAGATCCTCCAAGATGAACTTGATCAATGTGCAATGTGCAATCTACGACTCTCATGCTGGGTACCGATTTGGGAATCACCAACTTTGCGGACTAGTCTGGTTTCTGGGGAAAAAAAATTCATGTTTTGCGTTACTCAAATTTACGCTTGCCTACCAGTCCGCTCCCATCTCGGTACCCCGGCAGCACACATGCCTTGATCATGATCATCACTGGATGAAGATGAACTTCCAACACTTCGGGGCTGGCCAGGCTGCTTGATGCAACAGTCTCGCCAATTTCACAACTTCGTTTACTGGCCAGTCCCGGCTCATCTCATCCAAATCTGCGAACATTCGTGCGAGTACTTTGTACTTCTCGCGCTGGGTGCTGGAGGAAGAAAACAATCAGGGGAACTTTGACAGGCTGGCTGCTGCATTCTATGGAACACCGACAAATCAACATTCATCTGCAGCTTCAACCAGCCAGCCTGCTCAACTTCCTCCAGCACCCTGGGAACTCGGGACCACAGCTCGGTTGACTCCATTCATCAACCCAAATGAGCTGTCTTGTTAGGTGCTGGGATGAACATGAACACAACACAATCACCATTACATGCTGGCCTGGCTTCGACATCTCAAGCCTTCGACCTTTACGACCTTCAGCCGGCTAGCCAGTTCATCAGTTCATCTCATCCCAGCACCTGGAAACTTCATTGAAACGGTCTTTCTGACCACCGCAAGCTCGGTTGACTACTCCATTCAGCAACCAAAACGAGCTCATGTTAGGTGCTGGGATGAGCATGAACGCAAGAACTTCACCATTCACACGCTGGCCTGGCTTCGACTTCTCAAGCCTTCGACCTTTGCGGCCTTCGGCCGGCCGGCCAGTTCATCTCATTTCATCTCATCCCAGCAACTAGCAATTTCAATGAAACGGTCCCTTCAGTTCCAGAAATGCCCTCCCCGACTCCATTCATCGGCAAGGGGTATTTCATGTTGGGTGCTAGGACGAAGACAACCCTCCTTTTATAGGCTGGCCCGGCTTTGACTTCCAAGTCTATGCCTTCCACTTTTTCCAAAATTTGGCTGGCCAGCCGGTTGTTTTCGTTTTAGCACCTGGCAACTTCAGTGAAACGGTCTTTTCGACCACAGAGAGCTCGGTTGAATTCATCTACCAACCGAGAAGCCCATGTTGGGTGCTAGGACGACGACAATCACCATCAACATTCGACAGACTGGCCCGGCTTCGACTTTCCATTCAAGTCTATGCCTTCAACTTCCAGCCTATTGTATTTCGTCCTACCACCCGGCAATTTCAGTGACACGGTCTTTTTGACCACGGAGTGCTCGGTTGATTCCATTCGTCAACCTATGAGCTTCCATGTTGAGTGCTAGGATGATGACCATCACCTTTTGACAGGCTGGCCCGGCTTTGACTTTCCATTCTGAGTCTTGCCTTTCATTTTTTTGTGACCTGCGGCCGGCCAGCCTGCTCAATCCATCCTAGCACTTAACTTCTTCGCTGAACGGGTCTTTTTGACCACGGGGCTCTCTCTCATGTTGGGTGCTAGGACGATGACAATCATCCTACGACTTACGACAATGACAGGCTGGTCCGGCTTTGACTTTCCATTCTGAGTCTTGCCTTACATTTCCATGTGACCTGCGGCCGACCAGCCTGCTAATTCCGTTCTAGCACCCAGCAATTTCACTGAACCGGCCTTTTTGGCCACTAACCTCATGTTCCCCTGACAGGTGCTAGGACGACGATCACCATCACCATTCAACAGTCTGGCCTGGCTTCGACTTTCCAAGTCTATGCCTTTTTCGAATTTTCACAATCTTCGGCCGGCCAGCCCTTCATCTCGTCCTAGCACCTGGCAACTTTCCACCCGGGTGTGGCACGTCATCATCATCATCATCATCAAACCAAACATGCATCAACTGAGCTCCACCAATTGAGCTCTCACGTCGGGTGCTGGGATGAGCACAATCATCTTTGTCTTTGACAGCTGGCCAGGCCTCGACTTCCATGTTTATGCCTTCAACCTGTTTCATCTGGCTGGCCAGCCTGTCTCTCATCCCAGCACCTGGCAATTCACCACCCGGGTGTGCATGTGCTTTAAACCACAAACCATTTGCTGGACGCCATTTCCCAGCCTCCCTGGATGTCAGGACACAACCCACTAACAATTGACAGGCTGGCTTGCCCTTTTTCCCATGAAAAAAAAAAAAAGAAAAGCATCAACCGACAACTCGTTCTTGTCATTTGGCCAGCCAGCCTGTTCAATTCGTCCTGGCACCCAGAAGCTCCCAGTCGGAAGGGACAACATCGACTTCCAATCTCGAAAACCTCGCCAGCTGATCCCATTCAGCATCTGATACCCCCGGATGGGTGGGCGGACACAACCTCACACCAATGCATCACTTGACAGGCTGGCTTGCCACTTTCCCCCAGAAACCATGCATCAGACAACCTCATCACTTGTCATGGCCAGCCAGCCTGCTCAACCTGTCCGCACCCGCCCATCCGGGGTCTTCAGCATCACCACCATCAGCTGATCTCGACTCAGCAAAGCGAGTCCCACGTTGGGCGCCGGGACACAACCCCACCTTTCCCCTTTGACAGGCTGGCTTGCCTTTTTTTCTTCGAAAATCATGTATCAGCAACATCTTGTCTAGCTAGCCAGCCTGCTCAATTGTCCTGGCCCCAACAATCTCCGACTGGGAGGAATCTCTTTGAATCTTGAATTTTGTGTTTCTTTATTTTGTATTTTGCTTTGAATTTGCGACAATTTTGGCTGATCTTCATCGGCCAGGGCGATTGCCCATGGGTGCCGGGGGCACCATCTACATCTCATCACATCTCACACTTCAACACTTCACATTCACAGGCTGGCCGGCCATTTCCACCAAAAAACAACAAAAAAAAGAACAACAACAACCAAAAAAAAACCAACAAAAAAACAATAACTAACAAGTCGACAAACCGACTTCGGCCAGCCTGCCCCGGCACCCGACCACCGCGGTGTGCATCAGCACTTCGACATCCAAGAGACTTCAATTCTCCCGCGGTGGTCGGCAGTTCTCACTGCCATCGAGGCAAACCTCGATGGTATCCGTTGTGTGGAGACCATCCACTTTCAAGGCTATACTTCACCAAAAAAAAAAAAACAAACAAACACCCAACGGCCTGTCTTCGCACAACGGATACCACAGGAGCCAAAAGGCTGTTGCATACGTGCTCAGCTGCTCCATCAACAAAAAAAAAAAAAAAAAAACTTCAATTTTCACTTTCTTCTTACAATTCTTTTCTTTTTAATTTCTTTTTTTTGTCTATCCTCTTTTTTTCTTTTTTTTTTCTCTGTTTCTT